GATGGATGGATGGATGGATGGATGGATGGATGGATGGGTAGGTAGGTAGGTAGGTAGGTAGGTAGACAGACAGACAGACAGACAGACAGACAGACAGACAGACAGACAGACAGATAGATAGATAGATAGACTGATTATAGTCCAACAAGAGTTAGCCAATTACTAAAATAAAGGAAATAAACAGGAATATTTGTTTCAGTGAAAGTTCAGATTTTAAGCCAGGTGAAGTTTACAATTTAGACACTGTCTAAAAATAAAGATTACAAACTGACTCTTGAGTTCTCCCTTCACACTAAGTCATTCTTTATTAAACCATGTTTACATGCTATGCTAAGCTATAAAACCATTTTTTAAAATAAATCATAAAGTCTGGAACTAAAATAAACCCAATCAACCCCATACATACCATCCTGTGGTTTAGTGTGAATCGAGTTACTAAGTCATTAGTACGTGTTGCCAATATCAAATCATCCCTGACATTCTGGGATATAGAAACAGTGCCTCTCTGCCTTTCCTTCCATTTCAGAAAAGGTTGACCCTAACTCAGATTTCAGTAAATGTTTCCAGAACTGTGGAAACTGTTTTGCAGAAAGAGGTTTGTGCAAATAGGGAAGAATGGTTGACCCTAAAATTGCAGCAGCACGAAACAAAAGAAAATAGGTCAACACTAAACCGATTGATTAAAACATTGGTCATTATCCATATTTCCATGGAATTCTTTTGTCTTTTTTTGGTTGGAGAGAGAATAAGGGATCCACCTATTTTTCTTTCAATTAGGATAAACAACTTTAATTTATGTTTCACTCGTTTCCCAGATAGCGTCAATAGGATTAGGGAGCTACAGAGAGATTAACTAACTATAGATGCTCTCAGTCTATTGTTTCCAACAACGATCCTACTTTCTAAGGAGTCAGAGTATTTCAGTTCTCGCTGATTATTCAATTTGTATCCATCTTCTGATCTAATTTATATATTTGGGTCACAGATGGCACTGGAGGAAAAAAAATGAGTGGAGGGGAAAAATGCTCCCCAACCACAATCTGTCAAAACAGTTGCTCCATCAGCAGCAATTAGAGGTACCTGCTAGACTGTTTTCTCCAATTAAAAAATTGCAGAAGAAATCATGTATTTGTGAAAGAGCCATTAGGGAAAAAATGTGCATGGAAAATGCAAATAAACCATAGTTACTTTTAGAAAAAAACTTTTAGAAAATTGCATACAAATGCTTTCAATATAGGAAAAGTTGCAATCAAACAATGGGTAGGCATGATATAATGGATAACTTTTTTAAAAAAATATTTAAATAAAGAGGTCAAATGAAAATTGGCAAGATCAATAGGGGCTTCCTCTATATTGACCTAGGGGCAACAACACATGTTAAAAAAAAGATGGGACTTCAGTCACACCATCATAGATGTCATCTTGACTTTTTTTCTCCTCTGTGGATGCCCTTGGATCAATTCAATATTCTTATCTGTGCCCAAAATGTACATTTTTGTTTGCATAATCACCCAACAATATTTATTTTTGTCTGTTGCTATTGATACGTTTATGCATAATAATACAAGGAGACAGATCTTGGGGCCCACATGTTCAGTGGTGAAATTCAATTTTTTACTACCGGTTCTGTGGGCATGGCTTAGTGGGTGTGGAAGGGGAAGGATACTGCAAAATCTCCATTCCCACCCCATTCTNCTGCACTCTAACCACTGCGCCACCTCGACTCTTTATTATTTTATTTTAATGGTTTTAAAAGTAGCTTAGTGTAATCAGGCACTGATCCTGGTTCCAAAAGACACCACTTTTCCTTGTTTCCACACATCCTGAAACGCTGGGGACCAATTTAAGGACCTATCTCTTCAGCAATGCTATCTGATGGGCCCAGGAAGCAGGCCTTCTTTCTCATGGCATCTGTCCCCTGGAACAACATCCCCACAGATGTTCAACCATCCCCAGTACCCTTTAAACAGGCCTTGAAGACCTGGCTTTTCCAGATCCTGGGCTGGGATGCATCTCATCCTGGACTCAGCTATTTTAGGTTTGTTTATGGTATAATATGCCTGTCCCCCCATGTTTGGATTTTCAAAAATGTATTCTGGGTTTGTTTTTAAATTTGTGTGGTAGCCATGGTTACTGCTGATTTGGGCAGCTTCTGAAATATAAATAAACAAATCCATTTTAACAGCCTTGTTTAATTGTTTCCTTATATTTTAATCATTTTATAATGTCTAGGAAGGGAAGGAGGGAGGAAGTTCTAGATTTCAGAAGAACTTTAGTCAACCATATATGACTCCCTGGTTATTTATTTTTGACATTTTGGTTCTTTCTGATTAGAAGTTACACTACATTGCCAAAAGTATTCGCTCACAACTGAATCTCATTATTTGGATGGGTGAGCGAATACTTTTGGCAATATAGTGTATTTAGTGGAAGTTTTATTACAAACTAGCTGATAACCCACCGTTGTCCGGATATTTATTTATAAGGAGAAAATGTCTGGACCAAACGTAATTTCTAATGTTGGAATTTCCCCCTTACCAGAGGCAGCCCCCTTGTGGAGTACTGTGAAGCTGTTACTATGGCAATTCCACTGTTTAGTAGAAGCCATTTTACAGCAGTACAGTAGAACAAAACACACACATCCCGGGGTGTTAGGGATGTCTTACCCCCACAGTATTTGTTCAAGGTGTTCCAGAGTTATGCTGGAACATACACACAGTCATTTAGATAGATAGATAGATAGATAGATAGATAGATAGATAGATAGATGGATGGATGGATGGATGGATG